AGTATGTCTGAGAAGATACTTTTTAAAGCTCTGTTGCCTTGCTGCTATACCAAGCCATATGAAAGGCTTTGTGAGTAAACTCTAGGGATAAGATCTGGACCCAATCATCCAAAGCAGTCTCACTTTGTATCCAACCATATTTTGGCAACTCCTGTGATGACACTGGTACCATGCAGTATTGACCACTGCATTTCCCTTGGACAATATTGATGTAAAAGAGGGAGTTGTGCCGCATGGGCAACTATCATTTTATCATTAAAAAAAATATCCTACCCAGAAGAGGACACTCTAGTGTTGCTTCATCTGTGCTTGATTGATGTCTTGAAACCAATGAATGCTATATTTATATTAAGCTTTTGATTGACAAGTTGCATGTATGATTTGAATTTTGATTGCTTTTTTTATATTTCAGATTCTTGAGATACTGAACATTTGAGTTCCATTTTTATGAGCCTTATTGATTTTTCTTTTTCTTGTAATAAATAACAGGAATTAGAATTTTATCAAATATTTGTTTTTCATGTAACAAAAATTATACACTACTGTTGAATATCATTTTATCCCTCTAAGACATGGATCAAATGTAAAAGGCTTTTGTTCAAACTTTAAAGTTAAGATAAACATATCAAAGTTTTAAAATTCAAAATTTATTATTTATATACAGATATTAAAATCAATTTAAAATTTTTTGATAAAGCCAAAAGATCTTTTTAGGATTTTATCGGATTGAATATTTGGTTGAGACAAATGAAAGTTTGCGTTATGAAAAATAGTTCCTCATGGCATACTTAAGCTAAAGAAGTGGCTTTGAATGACAAAATTGTTATGGTTTCATTGATGTAATTAATCATAAAAAATGGTGGAAAATACAACTGCCTGTTAATATTGAAATGTTTGAGATGTTCAGCTTTAAATTTTGATATTTGGCATATGTAGATATTTAACTTGGCCTTTATTGTTCAGCTTATTGCTTCTGTTTTTATTGCTACATTTTTTTTAATTATCCCACATTTTTTGAGCAGTAGTTTTACAAAGAAAGGAAATATATAGTATGGTATTTGAGATAAATTTATCAGAGGATTCCCAAATTAATATACATTCAATATATTTTCATCTTAATTGTTTTTTTTGTTTTTTTTTAAGAATGTGTGTGTGTGTATATATATATATATATATATATATATATATATATATATATATATATATACACACACACACAGTAACTAGCTTTATCAATTACTAAAGTTTGTTGCATCAAGTCAGTAATTTGTATTTTACTATCAATAGTATCTGGACATCATGAATTTTTTTTTATAACAACTCTGTTTTAATTAATCACTTTATTAATTTTAGTAAGAAATGTTGCTAGCATTATTTTCATTAGCATTTCTGAGATGTTTATGGTATCATAAAATATTTGTAGATTGCCAATGTAAAATTTACTCTCCTTTTATCATTTGTCAATTGGTATGAATATGCAAACAGTCATTGGAATTTTTAAGTAGATATAGGATTTTATCTTGTGTCATTTTGACAGTGCCTTGCCTATTGAAAAGGTTAAGATAAAGATCATCCCACTTTGACTTGTTGAAATCCTTAATGTCAAATGTCAATGAAGAATTAACTTGCCAACAAATTTGTAATTTTCCCAAAGATTTTTACAGAATCAACAGGAGGCATAACATTTTTCAGAAGTTCCCAGAAAGGAGTGACAAAAACTCTATTCCCATGAATCTTGAGGAGAATCTTGTTTAACCAGTCAGTATTTTAAAAAGAAAAAAAAAAAAAAATTCTGGAAACCAGTTTCTCTACAAACACCTGTTCTATCTCTTTGAAAACAAATATATAAACATATTTTCACTATTTGTGAAAAGTAGTTAAGAATAAAGAAATGTTTGTATAGTAATTCTGTAAACATTTCTAAATGACTGTAGAAGAAAATTTATTGGTTTTGAGCTACTTTTAAAAAAAAAAATGCTTCTGTCAACCTTTTGAATTTTAAAATAAGCACTCTTAAACTGCGAATTGAAATAATGTGCCTTTTTTTTTTCTTTTTTTAGAGTATTGTAAATTATCTAAATTTTGCCTCTGACAATTTTTTTTTCTTTTTTTGGAATAATTCATAAATAGCTACTCTTTGTAGCTTTATTAACAGCTGCAGTTAGATAACTATTTCAGAAAACCTTAAACTTTTTAATGTTATTTTATTGAACTCCTTTGTATGTGCAAAATTCACCTACTTTTCTCATCAACTCCTAATTTACTTTGGTTTATCAAAGTTCTTGGGTGAAAGCCAGTGTTGGGTCTTTTATGTTGTCTTGTGTATCTATAATTCTCAATGTGTGTGTAAGTGGATGTTTATGCATTTCCACAGTTTTCATCCGATTTTGAATTTTTTTGTTTGATAGGTAATTCTTCAGTGCTGGTTTTGAGTCCAAATTGTTGGCTACAATGGCTCTCCACTACTTCCTGTCCATTATAACTCTCAACAACGTTTTACTATTTACTATCTGTTCTTGGATATATATCTTTCATAAAAACTTTAATACAAATAAATAGTTTAAATTATTGCAATAATATTATACAGTTCCTTCTTCAGCCCCAATTTGGGGATGTGCCTCAGTTGCATCCAAATGTTGTTACTAATATTGAGTTTTGGATAGGCTGACTTTAAACTTAAACTGCTCCAATTGAACGGCGAAAAATTTCCAGTAATGAAAGACTCGGTCAAAGACAAGTTATATTGCTAGTATTAGATAAAACCACAATCTATTCTTTGTTTCATGCCTGCATGTCCAGTGGCTTTAGCCCACTGGAATCACTTTTTTTTTTTTTTTTTTGGGCAATAACAATGTAATAACTAATCACAAAATATGCCCCTTTGTGTCTTCTTTTAATAAGTGCAAACATGTTCTCAAAGATGCTAAGTTGTCATTAACTGATAGTGTGGATTGGTTCTCAGGATTACTGGTGGCGCTGTAAGAGTGTTAGACTTTAATCCCTTCTCTCTTGAATCAATTTGAAATGCTATCTGCCAATAAAGCAAAATGCTTTACCTGCAAATTCTCTTTCAATTCTACTCTCGACTTATTAGGAGTACCTTTACTGACTTTCCACTTAGAACTGAGTCTCTATTGTATTATGACTGTTCGTGGTTTTCACTATAATCTCCAAACTTGATTCCCACAAAGTATGTGGATGATGGTATCCCTGCAAGTGTCCTTAAGAAATGAACCCCCTGAACTGGCACCAGTTTTTTTCCCTAAGTTCTACAAATAGATGCTTTGCTGCTTGTTTTCCAGATTGTTGGAAATCTGCTTCTGTACTTCCTCTTTAAAAATTCTGGAAAACCATCTGATCCTTCGAACTATCAGTCCTATTTGACAAAGTACTAGAAGCTCTAATCAATTCCTAATTGGTTAAGTATCTCTCCTCTTTCAAATAACATGGCTCTTGCCTTTCTGTCAAATGCTAGTGTTGATGATTATTGCTGTCAAGAATGGCAAAGATTTTTCTGTTGCTTTAGATATTTTGAAGGCATCTGACAGGGTTAGGCATGCTAATCATCTTCACAATTTGAAGTGTTATGGTGTCTCTGGTCATTTCTTTGATTTGGTTCAATCTTTTTCTTATCAAACCATGTAATTAAAATTGTCTTGAACAGCCACTCCTTTAGATCATTTTGCATTTATGTGGGTGTCCTTCAGGCCTTTCTTCTTTGATCTACTCTGTCTGTTATTTTCATTGACGACTTTCCAGGTGTCATCAGTTCATGATTTGGTATCTATACTGATTATACAACTGTTTACTCCTATCATAATAGTAAGTCTGATAAAATCAAATTAGCAGCCGATCTCCAAAATGACCTATAATCTGTTGTGAACTGGAGCAAGAAGTGGTTTCTTAATTTTAATGTCTCCAAATGCTTTTAATAATTATCTTGAACTTATCTTCTACCAGCATCACTGAAGCTAATCTCTGTCAACTATCAACTGTCCTCTTGTTTTCACATTTCCATTGACATAAATTGGAATTGATTATATTGAATCTATTACTAAGTCTGCTGCCAGGAAAGTTTGTTTACTATATTTTTTCTTGCCAGAATCTATTTTGCATGTTTATAAGTCATCTGTGTATTGAATATTGTTGCCACACCTGGCCTGGTGCTTCTGCTGTTTCTCTAGAAATTCTTGACAAATATCCAAAGAATCTGTAACATTATCAGTCCTGACCTGGTATTTTGGTTTTAGTCACTTTCCCACCACTGTAATGTTGCTTCCATTTGTTTCGTTTATAAATATTTTCATGTTAAGGGTTCTGATGAGCTTCTCTAGTATCTTGACTTCATGAATTCAAGTGCTGTATTAGATTGGCAGTTATGTCTCATAATTTCACTGTCAAAATTGCTAGTTGTAACCATAAGTTCTATGCTAATTTCCTCTCTTGGATTTGTGGAACTCTCTTCCAGCTTCTCTGTCAATTATGATTTTCAAAAATTTAAATGCAATGTCAATCATCTTTTGATTCCTTGAATTCTATCTTTTTGTTATCTTCTCTGTTTCAGTACCCACCTTGCATGCTAATAGTTTTTATATGCCTTGCTTATGGCAAAATGATTAAAAAGAAAGAAAAAAAAAGTTCTTATGTGTGTTTCTTTGTAGAAATTAAAAATTTATGAGTACTAATGGAAAAAGATAGTGCTCTACAGGAGGCATTCTTTATGTTTACTCTGTTATAACCATTACAGAAAAGTTATAAAACTAAACCATTACATTAAAATCTTTCTCTAAGAGCTGAATGTTTCTCTGGTAAGATGACATTACTCACCTTATGCTTTAGAACATGCCTTTCAAACAGATTATGAATAGGTTTTGATATCAATCTATAATAAAGATTTTTTCCCTCCAGAACTTATTAGGGGCTTCAAAGATTAGCTTTAATGTGGATTTAATTTCTTTAAATGTTTGTCTTTTGTCAGGTTCACCACCACAAAAGCTTTTATGAGCATCCTGCGAGAGCTCCATGACATGGCAAGCCAACATGAAATCATTGCAGAAAACACACAGACACTCATCATCAAGGAAATTCAGCAACTTATTGTAGAATTGAAGCAGGAAAGAAAAAAGGTAAATATTAAAATTTAGTTATTAGGGAAATAAAAGCATAAATATGCTGAACTAAACTCAGCATTTCTGACAAAATTGTTAATATTCTCTACTGATATCTCCATTTGTACTATTTACATATTTTATCCAATCCAAATGAATCAATCTTGTCATGATTACCCCTTACATTTTCCCTATCAGATTTTGTTTAAAATATATAAAAGTTTTACATAAAAAAAATCTTGTATTTGCCAAATACTTTTCTATAACATCCCTTTTAAGAGTTCCTTATAGATTATAAACAAGTGTTTTCTTATCAGATACCTTTTATAGGTTGAATCTTGATCAAAATTGTGTAATGGTTAAAACCATTATACAAGGCAAAATCTGTTGCTAATCTGCAATCTTGAGGCTATAGAATCTATTTTTCATGTTGTGGTGTTTAATCTTTTTGCCTATTAAATATTTCTGGCTATTTTTGAATTCAACATTTGTTCGCTAATATTGATCAGTTAAACATTTTCAAGAAATTATTTCTATAGACAGTACAAATGGTGAAAAGTGTTTATAAAGTTCACACATGCATTGAATAATTGAAACAATTTCTCTCTCTCTCTCTCTATATATATATATATATATATATATATATATATATATATATATATATATATATATTTTAAATTTTATCTCACATTTTCTGATATTTGGTTTTGGGAAGTTATCTTGATAAAGCAATAAATGAATTACCTATTTAACACATCTCTTGAGACTTCTATGAATCTATATTTGCTATTAATTTCGCAGTTTAAGAAAATAGAAACTGGGGATAGCAACTGGGATACATTTACTCACTAAAAGTAATGTTTATAGTAATAAGAAATAATGTGAGATTAAAAAAATTACTCTTTCAATTTTTGAATATGGAATTGAAGTTAGCATATATAGATATGTATAAGTCCCAATGAGAGATGTGCATTCCTTAAATAGGTAATTCAAACCTTGCTCTATAAAGATGGCTTCCCGTGGCAAAACTGGTTATGGCACCTTTCAGCTATAGAAGCACTTAGCATTCCTTGATGGAAAAAGGGATGGATACAAATTCAGTTCCTGTTGGGTGGTACAGATGTTTCTTTAGTAGGACTTATCAATCTAGGCAGTTTTTATTAATTTCACTGCTTAAGAAAATAATAATCAGGGATAACAACTCAAACATGTGTACCCACTAAAAATAACTTGGAAGTGATATAAATCTGTCAACAGGCACTTTTAAAGCTACAAGTAAGACCCATTTTGGAGGGGTGGGATACATAAAAATTGCTTATTCATAGAATTATAACCGATTGCTAAATACATTTTACAGATGAATGACATTCATTTTGATCAAATATTCTTTGGTTTCTTTAGTTTTTTGAAATTTTAGTTAGAGAATTAAATTCTTTTATTGAGGTCAACCTGGTAGAAGTAATGAAAGAAATTGACTTTTACAACAGTAATTCTAACAGAAATTTCTGTTTTCCAATGAGAAAAAAAAATGATAAAATTAAAAATTTTTGCAGTTTATCATTACTATTATACTCTTTGAATTTTTATACTGATGACAATTGACAAGAACTCTCCTCAATTATTTAGCACTCTTTTGTGATTTTTGTGATGATGTAGAAATAACCACTATGGTTATTGTTTCTGCAGCCAAAGTAATATGAATAATACATAGTTTTCTTAGAGTTCCACAAAATTGGCGAGAACTTGCCTCATTCTGAAATGAGAATTATGTAACCTCTTTGACAATTACCATCTGGAAGATTCCCCAAAGCAGCATCACTAAATATCACCAAATGTAATTTACTCTCTGTACAAAGATGTTGATACTTTAGTGACAAATTCAATGATTTTTGCTCTTGTAATCAGCAAATATTTCACAGTAAATTGCTTAATATTATTTGCTAAACTACAGGCATCAAAAGAATTTGGATGGGTCTGATGTGCTAATCATTCCACTTTAGATTTCTTTGATTGTTTTTCATTTTCCATTCACTTCAAGTCATTTTGCACAGCTATTATCTGATCCAGGTGAATTGGTTATTTGTTATATTTATCTTGATGTACATATTTAAATGAATGCAAGTATGGTCAAATCCACAATACTCAAAAGCTTTATGGTCTTCTCTTTGCACTTTTAAAACTATACTGTTACTAATGATGCTGTTTTTAAATTTTTCACTTCCTGATCAACTGAAATTATCAACTTTATGAGGTAATAACCTTCACCAATGACCCAGTTGCCATTATGGGATTCATTTGTGACATAACACCCACCATTTTCAATCATGAGATGTGACTTTGTGTCAGTGGAGGGAAGCACACTTGTTGAGTCACTATATCTCCTTATAATGCTTTTCTCTTGGTGGTTTAATCCATAATTTGTCTTTGCAGAAATGCAAGTTTTGTTACCCATGGAATTTTATTTCCATTGGCATTGAACTAAAAATGCCATTATAAGTCTATTAGAGAAGCTGACTTGGTTGTGGAATTGACAAAATTTTCAATAGGTTATAATTTTTTGACTTCAAAGCAAGAATGAAAAAAGGTCCATTTTTATTGAACACAGAAACTAAGTTTTTCTCCTTATTAAGCAATAAGCTTACATAAAAAACCAGAACTGACTTCCAAGGCAAAAAAAACTCTCCTTGAAGCATGCAAACCTTGTAGCCTGCAACAAGCTAGCACAGTGATAATGCAGTGAAAGAATGTGTGCTCCATGTAACTCAGGCAAAAAACTAGTCCTGCTATGAAAGATTATTTGCCACCTGCATGTCTTGAATCACCAACAATGGTCATTATTGAGGCATTTCAACTTGGGCACCTAAAGCCATAAGGAGTGATACTTCCCTCTTGTAAGACAAACCACATTAATCAAATCATTTTCTACAGTCCTCCAAACCACTAATACTCGATATATAGCTCGTCTTAACAACTGGTGAGTTTCAGAAAGGCCATATCATTACCAAAGAGAAAACTGCCAGAGAATGTCAACATTCATAGCAGGAACATTTGTTTTGAGGCAGACAACAGACCTCCTGATCTGAGTGTATGCTTCTCCAGTTCTTTATTGGCATTTTCCTTCCAGAATTTACTGGTGTCATTGGCTTGTGTACACATCAGGCCTAAGACTTTATCAGTGTTAAGTTCCAATGTCTGTCCAAATTTTTAGGCGAAAAGTAATTATCACCTGTCTTTTCTGCAGGTAAACTAGAGAGAGATGACTAGTCTTTGTAGTACCAGCATACTGGTTTTCTGTCAGAGATGGTGTACTGTAGCTTTTGACATTGAAAGTTTTCCTGTTGCACATTAGGTCAAAAAAGCTATTTTCTGCACATTTCATTTATGCCTCATGGCCATAAGAGAATTCTCTCGCATAAAGGAAGGGACATTGGAAACTGCTGACTTGGTTTGATGATATTCCTGATATTCAATGCAGAATATACTATTGTTTCTAGATTTTATTGGTTATGGGAAAATGGTCTTCTAGTGGGTGCAGCAGAATGTTTCTCATGAAATATTATCTTTTACCTTGTGTTCGTTATCAATTAGATCTTTTTTTCTTCTAGTGGTCTTTTCAGATTTTTTTTGTCTAAAATAAAACCTTTATGACTTGGCTGACATCCTATTTTTATTATTATAAAGATGAAAAATAATAAAATCTAAAGGAAAAAAAAAAAGAAAAAACTGACAACCTGTTTGGATATAATTCTTTTCATTGTTGTTTTATAAAGAAATATCCTGTGAATAAGAGTTTTTCAAAAATGCAAAATTTTTTTTGTCTAATAAGAGTAAAGTTAACTGTTAACTTGAAATAGATTCCCTGAGCAAGTTCTAGGAATGTGGCCAATATAGAAACTTTGATATTTAATATAATAATCATAGGAAGAATCTATACCAAGAGATGCTGTCATCTGGGTGGACTTTCTTGGACTTTCAATTCTTTCAACCTGTTTGCTAGGCTCTTTGGAACCATTTCAGAATTGTTGCATTCATAATTTATGATGTTTCTGTTCTTGTGCAAGGTTTACATATGTGTTTAAAAAAAAAAACACACTTATTTTTTGTTCTACTGTAACAGTAAATGCTGAAAACTTTTCTTTACAATAACTAGATCTAAGTCTTCTGGCATGGATTGGATTGATCCATTTGATTCTCTTGAGAATTTATTTCTTTGCTCTCAGACAGCTTTTGGTATATTCATATACCATTGTTTTGTAGGGTCAGAACCAAACTGTTCTATAGTTTCCAGTGGATCTCTATTCCTATGCTATCATGACAATTCTATTCTTTCTGAGCCAACTTGCTACATTTATTTTGTCTCTAACTTCACACATTCTGCATTTAATATTTTTCCTGTATCTTAACATTTAATGTAATCATTTCTTATGGCTGTGTTCTGGATTGCTATTAAGGGCTTTGTTCTCTCAGCAGATCTCCTCTTCCTGTTTATTTCATCTGCAATTCTTTCTATTGTTTCTTTTTAATATATGTATACTTATTTTTCAATTTTTGGCTTCTGTTCCTGTATTTGTCCTTTTTAAAATCTTGGCTGTTGTAATTGGTTTTTGTGGCTCTATCTTGTGTAGTCTTCATGTCTCTTGATAACATATAGAGTGCAATCTTCAATAATTATCTCTATTTCCTTTTCACATATTGTCAATTTGGTGAATGACTGTATATATGTTCTCATCAGCTTCTTTGTTTTGTCATTCACCTTCCTTAGTTCTTTGTCCTGTTTAAGGAGGATCCTGAATGTTTTGTACAGAAAGGGTCTAGGTATTTTATACATTTGATCAAGTTTCTATTGCTGAGTTTATAGCTTCTAATATTTTTTAATTTTCATCTAATCTATTTTGTTTATCTTAACCCTACCTATTAAATAATATTTACTAATAAAAAAAAAAAAGTACTCTGTGAATTCTAAAAATTGAACAAAAATGCTCAAAATGATTAAAGAATATATTGGGCTATGAATCTGT